AAAACAAGGTTTCTAAGAGACTACAAGACTGTGTTCCCCTGTCTCTCTGCTGTTCTTCACATATTTCTCAGCAGGGATGGCAACTCTTTCTTCCCGAGAAGCTCCCATGATTCCTTCCAGAGGCCTTTCCCACAGTGATGCCTCGGTAACATGAGAGACCCCACAGGACCAGGCGACCCCAAGCTCCAGTGCCACAGGGCAGCACGTGGGAGGTGAAAGCAGGAGCGGGCTGTGAAGGAAGAGCATAAAGACCTGGCATCCACAGGGAGATGGATGCTGTGAGGAAAGGCAAAGCTCGCCTATAAGTGATGCCAGCAGCAAAGAAAGGAGGGAAACGCAGGCCTGCTGCTGAGTGGGCCGAGTGATTTAGTGACAGCCGCAGATGCGTGATGCCTCCTTCCTCCAGTTTTCACCAGCGAAGTCTGCCAAAGCTCTGTGCTTAGAGATTGGGCTCAAGGAGGAGAGGAAATTACCAGGAGAGGCCAGTGGATGGAATTTATGCCATCGGATGGTGGGGCTCAGAGGGCCAGGAGCTGGTGGGCGATATGTTACCTGGAAGCCAGTAGACCCAGTAGAGCACCTCAGAAGTCTGCACCTGGTTATTGAGAAAGTGGAGCCAAGCTCTTTATAGGACAGGAGGATGGCAGAGACTGCATATAAACCGACACAAAAGAAGTTTGGAATCAATAAACATAAAAACTTTTCTACCATGAGAATAGTCTGGCAGTGGAGCAGGCTGCTTGGAAGCATCACCTCCTTCCTTGCAGATTTTAAAGGCCCAACTGGATAAAGCCCTAGATAATCTGGGCTGACCCCGTAGCTGACCCTGCTTTGGGCAGGAGGTTGACTGGAAACCCTCGTGAAGCCCCTTCCCATCTGAATTATGCTCCAATTCTATAATCCGAATTTCCTTCTTTTCCTTGCTACTTCTCTTCAGAGTATCACATCATTAAAAACATCAATATATGTTCAGATAATCTACTAAGCTCATCTGAAATAACGTTAATCAAATACGGGCTGACATGAAAATTCCCTTCCTTCTTCAGGTCAGTCCCTTCACTGTGACCCAGTGACATCAGGGGCAGTGCATGCGTTGCCTTAGTGCTTAGCATTCAGACCCAAAACATTTGTGCTGCTTTACAGAACGTGCCACAGAGTCCGGGGAGGAAGGGAGAGGATTACGGCCATGCAGGTTCTAGCATCTGGAATTTATCACTTCATTAAATGCTCAGATGTGATGGTCGCTAACAACAAGGGGGAAAATAAACAGAAAAGGCTTGTGGGATTGGTCAGCCAGCCTCGGAACATACTTCTCCTTGCAATAAAAAATACATTCACAATCGTTCCCAACAAAATGCTCCCCATCAATAAAACGCAAAGCAGCCTTCCATCTGCTATTCATTCCCAATTCAGAAGGGAAACAAAACAAAACTATAAAAGTCTTTCTTAAATGCCACTGTTGCCTATATAGCTCGGAGACGGCTTTTCAGCCTAACATATTCACTATATTCTGTGCCACTCTTCTCTTGACTGAGCAGGTTTATTTAAATAGAGGTAAATCAATGATCCTTACAGAGGATCAGAAGCATGTATGTCCAGAGTCCTTTGATTCTGAACTGCTTTCTGTGCCTCCGTACATGGAAAATAATGATCTAACTCTTTTGAGCAAAGTCAGGGATAATCTGACTCTCTCCTTTTCCAAAGGAAAAGAATTAGAACCAATGACTAATTCCTACCTCAATTTTAATTTTGTTTTCTTCTTCTTCCAAGCCACAGAAAAGTAAGTGCTTTGCTGAAGCAGGAGTAAAGTAGCAGACTCACAAGATCAAACTAGTGCATGGAGAAGTGATCGGTTTGGTTGATGGAACAAATTAAGAACACTCTTAGTAATTTTCTGTATGAACAACGGAACAGTTATGTCTCTCCAAAATTCATAGCAAGCTTTCAAGATGGTTTCTGGGCTCAAATACACGGCAGCTTGAGTAATGGATTAAAAAAAGGGGGGGAGGGCATAAAATTTAGGAAAGTTCCTTAGTCTAGACTAGAGAAATAGAATTACACCTAGGAGAAACATGCTCAAATCTAACCAAAGTTTCCTACTGATTTATGTGGGCTAGAACAACCTCTAGAAAAATGGGGAAAAAATGGTATAATTACTTGCAATTACTTGGACAGGAAGAGATAGCATCAGTTCCACAATGACTGAGACTTCCAACCTTTGTCTCAGCTGTAAGTATAGGAAGCATAACCAACACATTTTAAGAAAGCTTCGTGCAACATCTCTAATTGCTTTTTCTTTTTAAAATAGAGCTAAAGACACATTGAATCAAAAACGAAGTCAATCTTAAGTCACATAAAGAGGAATAGTCCTTTCCCCGAAAATGCTGTCCCTCTATCTAGCTGAATTTTCAGTACATTCATTTGAGCACACTGCTTTCTTATCCCAGGCTCCTCTTGATTAGCAGACACAGCCTTATCTCTTGTCGTGGGTAGCTGCAGTAGATCCTTTACAGGAAAGATTAGCTCAGCTATTCTGCCTTTAAACTTTCCATAAAAGGTGGTGCAGATTTTACGTGACAGTCCAGGTTGCGTTTATGTTACTTTGGGCAACCGAAAAGAGAACTAGCTATTACACAAAACCTGCGAGGAGGAAGAGGTGCCTAATCAGAAAATGCTGGTTGGGGGAGGCCTTGCCCCATGTGTGCCACACTGTGCCCGTGAACGGACACGGGACTTGGTGTCCCCGCAGCACCATGACCATCTACTCACTGGAAAACAGAGCGCCTACCCGGGGGCCTGGGGCTGGAACCGCAGCAAGGAGCACGACAAGGACTCCATGCTTGTAGCGAAGGGCAAGGAGGTCTCAAAACTAGACTATATATATGCATATATATATATATATATGTATATATGTATATAAATGGGGGGAGTGGGAGGAGAATCCTGCTGGAAAACCAGTGAAAACAGAATAAAACCTATTATGTACTCGAGGGACTAAATACATTTGCTAGTTGACTCGCTGCTCTAAAAAGTGACAGGACAAAATATAGGCTGTTCACTGCAGCACACGCCAGATCCAGATCTGGAGAGAGGAGACACTCTCGGGCTGAAGCTACACATTGCACCTTTGGATGATTTAGCATCTCGCCATATGCTCAGGGAGGAGACCCTGTTCCTGCCTCTCTCCTCCCCCACAACATGCATATTCCTCCCTTCCATTTCACCAGGGTCTGCACTCCCCACCAATGGCACCGGGCTGAACCGAATGTGCCGAAATGAACAACCTTCTGGGGGGGGCAGCAAGTAGAGTTAATGCAGTAAAGGGCCAGATGAGTGCCAAAGCGATGGGACTAGGGGAGAGGAAGGGAGAAGTAAGAGAACTGCAGCCCCCTGAACTGGCTTGTCCATGCTCTGCACCTCGATGCTAGGAGAAGTTCAGACCTGTGTCATGCCAAGCTAAGCAATTTCTTTTTTATCTTTTTTTTTTTTTAAAATAACCCACCAGCCTTATTTCTACTCTCATTTCTCAGTGTAATGCACTGTCCAGAGCCGTGTGCACTTCCAATTAACCTCTCTGGCGGACTGGAAAATAAACATGCGGCTTTCCTACAGAATAATCTATTTCGGCACACAAAGAAAGCAATACACTAGTAACCAAAAGGAAACCAATTAAAAAGCAAATTTGTGTCAGAGCTACTGCAGACAGTGGGCCCTCCCCTTGTTTTTGCAGGACTTGCTGCGTATTTATTTACCTGCGGTGTGAAGAGCCTGAGCTCCCACCCCAAATCCAAATAGCTGCTGTTTTGTGTTAACAAGGGAGACAGACGCTGGCTGCAAACGCACGTGGGCAGAACCCTAAGCAGGACACCAAGGTGGTGATGAATCACGTGCTCCTGAATGTCAAGGTACAGCGGGATTTTCAGAGCAGCCTGGCTCCTTTCCCACATTGCGGGAGAATGAAACAAAATGTAGGTGGAACCGAAGTCCTGTTGTTATTAGTATGCAAAGAAAATTAACTGATTTAAATTCACCCATCTGTTCTGGATAACCGCTTATGAGTAATTCTCAACATTTTAGTCACCTGGTAAAAAGACAGCAAGTCCTAGGCACAAACACTTTCTAACCAGTTTGTATTCAGGAGCACAGATGATTAAACCACGCAGTAACTGGTTCATTCTTCTTTCACTAAGCTTTGATCCTTGCCCAGCTCCCTTGCTGCTTTCTGTCTCTCCCATTTCTCTCCTCTTTCTGGCAGATGAAGTGGAGGTGGAGAAGAAATGGGAGGGAGGTTCTTGGACAGCATAAGGATTACTGTAGTTTCCAGTCCTTAAGCAATGAAGAGTTTGCTCGGCAGACAGATGACCTGTTGCTGCTACCTACTCCTCCACTCCAGCCCCCCTTTTTATTTTCACCTTAAATACATATATACTTGTCTCTGGGTTAAGTTGTACAGTCCAGCAACAAAGTTTACCATATCTAGCTCCATATCCATACCCAATTCCTCTCCCCACCTTTTTGTTACTGCTTGGGGCAATTTATGTTAGAGAAAACTGCACATCAGTAAGACCCTCAATTGTGCACCTACAGCTCGTTGACATTAGGTTCACATCCAGACCTGATGTGGATGTAGGTGACACTCATCAGAAGGACAGCTATGCCATGGATAACAAATCATGTCCACTCCCTAAGTTAAACAACAATATTACCACAAACTTATTTTTAAAGCACTCCTGGTATCCTGCCCAGCTGCCTGTCCTTGTACAAAACAAAGTGAGAGCTGTCTCCTCACACAGTTCTGCTTGTGGTTCCTCTCAGCGTTCTGAAATAAGAACGAGTTTTAAAATCTTACATTTTGTTTTCAACTGGAAAAGCAGCCTGAAATGGTGGGGGAACGAGTCTGTATACCTTTTATTTTTTTCCTCCAATATGGAAAAGAGGGAAAAGATGAGACACTCCCCTAAAGGTAATATAGTTGAAAACACAGAGTGATGACTACTTACATATAATATGTAGGATACAGTCCTTCAAAGTACCAGCAATGCTTTTTGGCCTCTGTACACTACAAAGAAAGAAAAGAAGGTATTAATATTTGCAAAGGACAACATGTGACTATAAACACAAGCTTGGAATAGTTATAAATACTGTAACTTTGAGCAACTAGAAGAGATATCCATTCCCAAAGGCTTCACAAATCTAAAACACAAAGCAATTGGGAAGCTAGTTAATTTGAACCGTGATGTGCCTGGTTAGGGTTCAGATGCTTCACTAGGGGCTCACTCTGTGGGGCCCCATGGGTTCACTCAATGCACAACTGCAGCCTTGAGGCCCTGGAAAGACCCCGAATGCAACTGCATGTGTTTCCTGGCAGAACTGGAGTCTCCAAAGAATCTCAAGAATACAGAGAACTTAAAGAGTCCACTGTGGTTACAGTCACCTAAGCACTAAGGCATCCCCATTTAGACAACAGTAGACATATGCAAGCACAATTAATTTGCTATTTGTAAGGAATTATTCATCTTTATGGAATTCTCTGACGCGCAGAGGCAACTTTGGACAGGAACAAAAACAGAGAGCCCACATTAGGAGAGCATCTCATTCTCCTACAGCCTGGATCCACTTCAAGTGCTCACTAAAGCACTAGAGAGAGGACACAGCTCTGCAGCTGGTAGCACTGTTCTCTCACTATTTCCTTTATAAAGGCTGGCAACAGGCGTTTTCTGTGAGTGTGTGTGCAGGCAATGAGGGAAGTGTGCATCATTACAGGCCCTGGCAGAGTATGGGCAGCGACCGAGAGCAACGCCGGTGCTTAGAAAGGAAAACGAGATGTCAAACGCAAACTGCACATACAATGCATCCACTATTTCTGCACATCCTGCTGCCATCCCTTACAGAAAATACAGCCCTCATTACAGACACAGCTCCAGCAGCTCCCAGAGCAGCAAGGAACATCTCACTGTGGTCTTAACAGCAGCTCCCGCCGCTGCTCACACCTGACACGCGATGCCAGAGAGCCCCGGGTGCATCTGCAGCGCTCGGATCATCCATCATGTTCTCTGGGCAGCTCGCCCTTAAACAGCGGCCCGCGCAAGTTCATTAGCCGCCCTGAATCCCAGAATACCCAAGGAATCCAGTTAAGACAAAGACAAAGTGGTTTTAGACCTCTTGCCTCCCATCCTCATGAATGGCAAAGGCTACAACACGAGCTCTCTAATGAGTAGCTGATGAGCTCAATCACAGACAGATCAATTACAGTCCATGAAGACAAACTGCTATGGATTAAATTGTTAAGACTAGAGCAGGAGGCAGCAGTGGCGGCAGCAGAGAGAGACTTTTGATGCGTGTGATCAGACCTTTCCACTTGCTGTATGACAAGGGCTCACACCAGCCTGCAAGCTGCACAAGCTTTTGGTGCTGGGGAAAGCACTGCAGCTTTCACTTTAGGATAAAAATAGTGGGAGCCTCATTTCTGCCTGAAACGGACGCTACTTTTAAAGCAGGAGGGATCCAGAGCTGCAGAGGTTGTCGCGGTGCCATACTGCAAACATAGCATTCTTGTAAATCCAGTGTGTCCGTTGCTGATTTAGTGCGAAACACACTTCAGCTCACTGCCTTTGAAGGCCATGAATCCACATGCCCTGGCTGAATTCCTCTGTTTCCAGATCCCTGCCTTGGGAAGCCTCCTTGCAGAATTCAGCTTGGGGTGTGCACTGCTCTGTATTTTTCCTCCTGCTTCTGGACCAATATGACTCACTGTTTATCTTAACATCCTTACAGCCTTTGCCTGTTTTAATTGATACTTTCCCAGCAATGTTTTGGAGCACATAGAGCCTGCACATTCATTGCTTCTTACCCACGTAAAGGAGATACTTATATTTAGTAATTGCTCTGCTTGTCCTCATCTCCATGTCTTAATCCACTTTGTTCTAAAATGAACAGAGAAGATGCTTCTGCCTTTCCAAGTTGTAAAATTTCTGTTTCTTCCTCTTAAATTATTTGGACTTTGCTTCAGCCACAAATACTTACTGCTGCCACACAAAGGCTCCCACCTAGGCAAGCTTTGCTAATACCAAGCTGCCCTCTGGCTCATAGGGATCGGACACGCACCCTAAGAAATCTTTAGGGCAGGGCTTTGCCTTTACATGGGACCTAGCACACTCGGTGCCGCTTGCGATCCTGGTGCTTTCTTACATCACTGGGATATGAATAATGCAGGGAAGTTGCTCTCCTACATAGGAACCAGGTAAGCAGCGCGGCAGAGCCTGATCCATGCTCCGTATCAGAAGGATTTCCATACACAGGACAAAGCGCCGCGGTCCTTGCCTAGTTAAAACTCCCACTGATCTCCATAGCAACATTCTTTGAGTAAGCCCTGACATAAACCAGGCTCCAACCCGCAGTCGGCACTGCTGGTTAAGAGACCTCACGGGGATTCAGTGACACGGAGGAGGAGAAGGGAACGTCCTCACCTCGGAGGATTTCCATCTCTTTAATATGCAGCTACCAGAGCGATGAACAGGGTAGCTAGGACATGGATTACTTTTTCGCATCCCACACACATCCTTTGAAGCAAACTATGATCGGATCATCTGTCTCTCACCAAGAGCCAAATTCTTCTTTCTTTGGGGCGCGCACGCTGGCCTCTTAGCAGAGCCCATGAGGAGTCACGCAAGTGCACAAGGGAACAGGTTCTGGCAGCAGCTGGTTTTAATCCTCACCTCGAGCATTGGGTCCTTACAGTTGCTTGAGATAATTCAGATTTAAGCTCTCAAGTTAGCTAAGAAACATCAACCAGAAGTCAGTCCACAAAGCGAACCAAAGAAAGGGAAGGTAATTCAAAGTGCTGTAGTACAAAAAGACCCCAGACATCAGGGTTGGCACCCACTCTGCTAGCTCCCATATGAAGACGGGCTGCATATCCTGAGAATTTCTGTTCGGTGTTTGTCCGTGTCTTAAAAAGCCATTTACCACTCCCTAATAGCAAAAATGGGGTGTTTATGGTTCTTAAACTAAGCTTAGTTATGGCCCTGCTGATGCTTTTAACTTTTCTAAAAGAACAGAGTTTCAGATATACAATTTCTTCTTCTACATCCTTTACCCGTTTGACACAGCCCAAAATATAAATAAATACAGGAGTATGTTCACTTTTCAAATAAATGATGCAGGTTCAGTTGGGTGTGCTTGTGCAATCTCTGGGGAACTAATGGTATGCGAAGTAGCCAGATGCATGAAAACAGTTCTTAAGATTGTGGTATACAGGGTGGGGGGGAAAAAAGGGAGGGGAAAACCCACATGAGACTATTTCTTTTTAATCAACATCTCTCTTGCAGCCTGTTTTCTCTGACAGAATGCAGCAACAGGAGCTGCAAGCTGTGCTTTTCTGTGGCCTCTAAACTCATTCAGGTTTCCTCCAAGAAGGGAAACATGTGGCTTCCTGCCACAGATTAAGACTGCAAATGCTGCTGCTGCTAGCGAGAACAATAAAAAAAGAGAAGCAGTAACTCAAACACTAACCAAAGACCACACCATAAAATCAAGAATACAGAAGTGTATGTGTGCCACACAAAATATAGAAGTATATGAGTGGGGGAAGAGGGAGGAGGCAGCCTGCTCAGTGAGCACCTGAAGGTATCCTACGGATTGTTAGCTATGCCTTGCAGGATTTGCAGAAATACTGCCTAGAAAGCATCTCCTCCACGCTGCACATCACTACAGTTCAGCTCCTAGGGAAATAGGTTAAAAATACACACACACACACACAGACTTGCTTGATCAATTAATCACTCTTTGTAAACAAGGGAACCCTGGGTTCATGCCCAGTGCTTTCACTGGAGTTTTGGAAAGTAAACAATTACAACCCCAACTACACAGAGCAAGTACTTTCCTATATAAGGACAGTCAATGTTTGGTATGAGAATCAACAGAAAAGAAACCCTCAGAGGACGGAAGGGCTTCAGGTGACAGGCAGGGAGGAAGATGAGGAAGATGGTATCTGCACTCTGCAAGAACACAGACATCTCCTCAAAGCCAGACTGGGTAGGAGGCATGGGTCTGCTATTGACCACCAAGGCAAAGAAGCTGAGGGGCTGGCTCTTTTTTAAAAACGAAACAAACCAAACAAACAGACAAAAAGTAGATGCTACAGCACAATTACAAGAAAACAAAACAAACAAAAAAGCAGGAATTTAACCATGTGACCTGCCACACTGACAAACCAGAAATGGCCCCTAGCACTCTGCAATGACTCAAATAGTCAGTGGCTGTTAAATCCTCTCATCCCACTGGGCACATCCTACGTATTAGCAGAGGTCAGGTTGATCCCAGTCTCATTCTTGTGGCTATGGGCTCTGACACTCTGCTAGGATTTATTTATCCATAGGCAAGCAGGAAGAACGAACGAAAAGTGCATCCACGACTTGAAAAAGACCTCATGGCTTCTCAGCCAACACACAGGGTGATTTAGAGAGAAGATTTCCTACTCCAGCATATACCCACAAAGCTGTACTGCAACCAGATCACAACTCCTAACTGCCTTTCCTATAGGAAGCTTCTTGCCAAAGTCACCTGCACAGACCTGCTACAGTCCTCCTGGTTGCTGCACTCAGTGGAATGAGGATGAAGAGATGGGACCATCTATGAGGAGATTCACAGGACAGCCTAAGGGTGGAAGCAGTCCTCAAGGGAGGATGCATTCAGTTTTAGCCTTGCCTGAATCCACCAAAATTCATCCCTGCTTGTTCCCTGGTGATGCCAGCAGATGAGGCCGAGCAACCCCTCTCCAAACTATTGGAGGAAACTGAGCCTCCAAGCCACGTTACCAACAACTTCAGCAAATACTCCATTGCAAAAGACAGGAACAGCTCTACCTTTAACATAACCCTGGTCTTTAGCAGGTTTTATCCACTAAGCCAATGAAGCAACATCAGAAGACTCCAGTGTAACAGGATAGTAATTCCTTTAGCAGCTACTAGTTTCAAGCCTTCCCTCCTGGAAGAGGGAAGAGGATAAATGGAACAGATACGATTTCAGAAACACAGCCACTCCATCAAGGCCCCAAGATTACAAAATCATACACCTCCTATTAAATATTTCAGGGGGTGCTGCCTCTTGATAGGGTTTTTAACTGTTCCCCAAGAAAAAAGGGATTACAGGATTCCTCACAGAAGCAACTTGCCCACCTGGAATTTACTCTTCTGTGTTTAGCAACAGTGAGATTTCAGTGCCAGCAGCTAATACTTAATAACTCTCCTGGTGCTCAGAGTACAAGCATTAATCATCGCATGTGGAATTAAAGCGCACTTAGCATTAGATAGACTCCCATTAAAAAACATGACTTTATAGTTAGCTCTTCTATTAACCTTTCCCATGAAAGGCACACGGATACTCCCCTTGCATGTGGGATCATTTGGGAAGCTGACAATGACCTTTTTTTCCCTCCTCTCCTTCCTCCCTTTGGCCGTTTTGCAGCAAATTGCAAACGTGCTCCAGTTGGAGCACGATGCCCCGAAAGCAGAGCTCAGCACCGGGGACAGCGCTGCCTCCGCGGGGCACCACCAAAGCCAACGGAGAGGTGCGCTCACCACTGTGACGTGCAGAGCGGTGCAATGCGGAGCCCGGGCTGCAAACCCACATTTGTGGGGAGGTTAGGCTGTTAAATAGCTGTGGCATGTTTGAGCACATGTAAGAGTCATGAATAACAACATCAAGCATTTTTAAAAAACTTTAAAAATGCCTAATTACTGTCCCTGCTTGAGCAGGGAGGTTGGACTAGGTGATGTCCAGAGGTCCCTTCCAACCTCAACCATTCTGTGATTCTGTGCTCTGGCTAGCTTGAATGGAACATCTCCACGGCTCTTCTTCAAACTGCTTGGGAAATCAGTCAGGTGAATTTTCCCACCTGGAACTAGGTTAGGAAATCAAGCCAAATACGTGCACAGAGATCTGTAACACCAAATCTTATTTCTACACTCGTGAACTCAGCAACATTTGTACAGATATAAAAGCTGTGGGCGGGAAGGGAGGGCGTGTTAAACCTTCTTGGTGG